CTTAGTCATTCAATTTTATCCCCTTTGATATGTTTGAAAAGGCATTCTCTGTTGTACATCTATACCATACCGTAGTACATCAAGTTGACACCCTTTACACGTTGACTAGTATGTTCTCTTTTATATATCCATTTGATCCCCTTTTAAATTTTTGAAGGTAAATTCTGTGTTGTACATCTGTATGATCCCCTCGTCCATCCTTTTGATCCCCTCTTATATTTTATAGTATATTCTCCTTTGTACATCTGTCTGATCCCCTCGTCCATCCATTCGATCCCCTTTTATATTTTTGATAGTATATTCTCAGTTGTACATCTATTTGATCCCCAAGTACATCAATTTTTATCCTCTCTTGTATGCTTTATATAATGTTTTCTGTTGTAAATTCATATGATCCCCTACTCCATCTAATTGATCTCCTCTTAAATTTTTGATAGAATATTCTCCGTTGTACATCTGTATGATCTCCTTGTACACCCATTTGATTCCCTGTTATATGTTTGATAGTATGTTCTCTGTTGTACATCTATTTGATCCCTTAGTCCTTCCATTTGATACCCTGTCATTTGCTTGAAGGTATATTATCCTCATCTATATCACACCTGGTCTTACGTGATCCCCTGATATCTGTTCAATGAAAACTAAAGAATATGTACATCTAAATGGCCCACTGGTCATCTTACGTGATCCCCTTATATCTTTTCAATGAATAGTAAAGTTTATGTACATCAAGATGTTTCCCTGGTCAACTTACGTGATCATCCGATATCTGTCCAATAAAACCTATAGTATATGTTAATCTAGATGATCCACTTGTCATATACGTGATCATCTTATATATGTTCAATGAATACTATAGAATGTGTACATCTAGATGATCCCCTGGTCAGCTTCCATTATCCCCATATATTTGTTCCAACATATGAAAGAATATATGTACAGGTAAATGACCCCCTTGTCATCTTCCGTGATCCCTTTATTTCTATTCAATGGATACTATAGTACATGTAAATATAGTTGATCCCCTTGTAATCTTTCGTGATCTCCATGTATCCGTTTCAAAATTAGAAAGAGTATATGTACATCTAGATGACCCACTTGCCATATTACGTGATCTCCTTTTATCTGTTCAATGAATACTATAGAATGTGTACATCTAAATGATCCCCTGGTCCGATTACATGATACTCACATATCTGTTCCATAATAAGAAAGAGAATGGATGTACATGTGGATGATCCCCTGCTCATCTCACGTGATCCCTTTATTTCTGTTCTATGAACACTATAGTATATGTACATATAGACGATCCCTTTGTCATCTTACATGATCTCCTTAGATCAGTTCAATGAATACTATAGTATATGTAAATCTGAATGATCCCCTGGTCAGCTTACATTATCCCCATTTATCTGCTCCAAAATATGAAAGCATATAAGTACATCTAAATGACCCCCTGGTCATCTAACGTGATCCCTTTATTTCTGTTCAATGGATACTATAGTAAATGTAAATATAGTTGATCACCTTGTCATCTTTCGTGATCTCCATATATCCGTTCCATAATTAGAAAGAGTATAATGTACATTTAGATGATCCTCTGGTCATCTTATGTGATCCCCTTTTATCTGTTCAATGAATGTTATAGAATATGCACATCTAGATGACCCCCTTGTCATCTTACGAGATCCCCTGATATATGTTCAATGAATCTAGATCTTATACTGTATGCACATCTAGACGATCCCCTGGTCATCTTACGTGATCCCCTTAATTATTTCTGTTCAATAAAAACTATAACATATGTAAAATTAGATGATCCCCTGGTCATCATACGTTTTCCCCTTATATCCCTTCCATAATAAGAAAGTAGACATGTATATCTAGACGATCCCCTTGTCATCTAACGTGATCGGTATCCCTTTATTTCTGTTCAATGAATATTTTATAGTATGTGCACATCTAGATGATCCCCTGGTCTGCTTACATAATACCCATATATCTGTTCCATAATAAGAAAGAATAAATGTACATGTAGATGATCCCCTGCTCATCTCACGTGATCCCTTTATTTCTGTTCAATGAATGCTATAGTATATGTAACATAGACGACCCCTTTGTCATCTTACGTGATCTCCTTAGATCTATTTAATGAATACTATAGTATATGTAAATCTGAATGATCCCCTGGTCAGCTATAATTATCCCCATTTATCTGCTCCAAAATATGAAAGCATATAAGTACATCTAAATTACCCCCTGGTCATCTAACGTGATCCCTTTATTTCTGTTCAATGGATACTATAGTAAATTTTAATATAGTTTAACCCGTTGTCATCTTTCGTGATTTCTATATATCCGTTCCATAATTAGAAAGAGTATATGTACATGTAGATGATCCCCTGGTCATCTTATGTGATCCCCTTATATCTGTTCAATGATTCTTACAGTATATGCACATCTAGATGATCCCCTTGTTATCTTACAAGATCCCCTTATTTCTATTCAATGAAACTATAGCATATGTATGTAGATAATCCCCTGGTCATCTTACGTGATCCCCTGATGTCTGTTCAATGAATCTTATACTATATGCACATATAGACGATCCCCTGGTCATCTTACGTGATCCCCTTATTTCTGTTCTGGTCAGCTAAAATTATCCCCATTTATCTGCTCCAAAATATGAAAGCATATAAGTACATCTAAATGACCCCCTGGTCACCTAACGTGATCCCTTTATTTCTGTTCAATGGATCCTTTAGTAAATTTTGATATAGTTGAACTGTTGTCATCTTTCGTGATCTCCATATATCCGTTCCATAATTAGAAAGAGTATATGTACATGTAGATGATCCCCTGGTCATCTTATGTGATGTCCTTATATCTGTTCAATGATTCTTACAGTATATGCACATCTAAATGATCCCCTTGTCATCTTACAAGATCCCCTTATTTCTATTCAATGAAACTATAGCATATGTAAAATTAGATGATCCCCTGGTCATCTTACGTTATCCCCTTATATCCATTCCATAATAAGAAAGAGTTCATGTACATTTTAATGATCCCCTTGACAGCTTACATGATAACCAAATATGTGTTCCATAATAAGAAAGAATAAATGTAGATGTAGATGATCCCCTGCTCATTTTCGTGACCCCTTTATTTCTGTTCAATGGATACTATAGTAAATGTAAATATAGTTGATCCCCTTGTCATCTTTCGTGATCTCCATATATCCTTTCCATAATTAGAAAGAGTAGATACATGTAGATAATCCCCTGGTCATCTTACGTGATCCCCTGATATCTGTTCAATGAATCTTATACTATATGCACATCTAGACGATCCCCTGGTCATCTTACGTGATCCCCTTAATTATTTCTGTTCAATAAAAACTATAGCATATGTAAAATTAGATGAACCCCTGGTCATCTTACATGATCCACTTATATCTGTTCAACGCAAAATATAGTATATGTACATCTAGATGGCCCACTGGTCATCTTACGTGATCCCCTTATATCTGTTCAATGAAAAGTACGGTATATGTACATTAAGATGATTCCCTGGTCAACTTACGTGATCACCTGATATCTGTTCAATGAAAACTATAGTATATGTAAATCTAGATGACCCACTTGTCATATTACGTTATCTCCTTATATCTGTTCAATGAATACTAAAGTATGTGTACATATAGATGATCCCCTAGTCAGCTTACATGATACCCATATATCTGTTCCGTAATAAGAAAGAATATATTTACATGTAGATGATACCCTTGTCATCTAACGTGATCGGTATCCCTTTATTTCTGTTCAATGAATATTATAGTATGTGCACATCTAGATGATCCCCTGGTCTGCTTACATGATACCCATATATCTGTTCCATAATAAAAAAGAATAAATGTACATGTAGATGATCCCCTGCTCATCTCACGTGATCACTTTATTTCTGTTCAATGAATGCTACAGTATATGTACATATAGACGATCCCTTTGTCATTTTCCGTGATCCCTTTATTTCTGTTCAATGGATACTATAGTAAATGTAAATATGGTTGATCCCCTTGTCATCTTTCGTGATCTCCGTATATCCGTTCCATAATTAGAAAGAGTAAATGTGCATGTAGATGATCCCTTGGTCATCTTATGTGATCCCCTTATATCTGCTCAATGAATACGATAGTAAATGTACATCTAAATGATCCCCTGGTCATCTTACGTGATCCCCTGATATCTGTTCAATGAATCTTATACTGTATGCACATCTAGACGATCCCCTGGTCATCTTACGTGATCCCCTTATTTCTGATCAATAAAAACTATAGCATATGTAAAATTAGATGATCCCCTGGTCATCTTACGTTAACCCCTTATATCCCTTCCATTATAAGAAAGAGGACGTGATCCAATGATATCAGTTCAATGAAAATTATTTTATGTGTACAAGTAGATGATCCCCTGGTCATCAAGTGCGTGACCCGCTGATATCTGTTCAATGAAAAGTATAGTATATGTACATGGTCATCTTAAGTGATCGCGTTGTTTCTGTTCAATGAAAACTAAATAGTATAAACTTGGTCCTCTTATAATGTGATTCCTAATATATTTTTCATATGAACAAAAGTATACATTGTATGTATATTCAGAGTATACATTGTATGTATATTTAGATGATCCTTTAGTCATCTAACTTGATATCCTCACATAGGTTCATATGCTGATTAAATCATTTGGCATATGAATGAAAGCACCATTATTGCACGACTTAACACTTTAAAGCCTTTTTCCATTTTTATAAGACATTCGTGTATATTTATTAGGGGGATTAAGCATTTGCACTTACATACAGTAACACTGATCATTTCCACAGATTTATAGTCTATTTTAATCATGATGATAACGCTTTATAAGAAATTCGTGCTTTATTTATAGGCGGGGCTAAATATGCAAAGTGTACGCTTACTCGATCCCTTTTTCCGTTTACCTGTTCGGCGAATACATGTTGGAAATTCTGGTCATGGTGTATGGAAACCTTTCATTGGTTGTCGTTTTAAAGAAAGTTCCTGCCGAACCAATGAAAGGTCACGATACACTGGCTGGTCACATGACCGGGGTTTCCCCAAGATGTCTACGTCGAAGCAGATTTCTGCTCTGATTTGAAGATTTCGTTCCTTTTAATTGACTATTTTTCCTTTAATAGATTGTTAAGTTTATACATTCATTAAATAGTATATTTTTCTGATGAAAGGAATTGGGAGAGCACAAGTATTCCCAAACGAAAAGGAAGGCAGTACAGGTGACAAAGATTGAAAGAAGCAGGACTGCCAGGCGTCCCGAAACAACCAATTTTCAATCACAACCTAAATTCAAACACATTCTTTATTCTGTGGCACTGATGTCATGCCTGACTAAATTGCATAAAGTCACATGTTGTATTAACTTTAAAACTTGCAGAAATGCCACACTTGATTAATTGTCAGATGTTTTCAGAAAAACAATAAGAAACTGTTTGTTTTAAGTCACACAATTTAAATTGTCCAATTTTCACTATATCAAAATAGTCACTTGTTTAAAATAGTGGTAAAAATTTTTTAAGCAAGTTAATTTTTTTTATAAAGTATTGGCTAAAGAGTTTTACCATTTATCTCAGTCCTAGGTGTATTTAAAACATTTATTTATATGATGTACCAATAAATATTCATCAGACTTTACATGGGGGTCCTTATTTATAAAATCTTATATTGTTATCAATTTTTTTCATGTGATGATTGTAGAATAATTGTTTTGTAAGCGATACCAGCTGGCAGATCTAGACAAATTTCCATATTTGCTAATATTATAAAGTGGGAAAGGTAAAATGGCTGTAAAGATTGGATGCATTTATCATTTTGCACCCCAAATAGCGTACTAAGAAGTGACACCTTTAACTGCCTTTTTATACACATTAACAGTAGTCATACCAATGCATTGTGCTGAACATATGTTATAACATTTAGTGTAAGTTTTTTTAAAATCTTGAAAAAACTGTTGAAAATCATTGAATAGACTATTGTGAAATTTTTTACAATTTTTAGTGGCCCTGATTTATCTTTAACAAATTTTCCATGGTGATTACCCTGCTGTTTGAATTTAGGTTTAAATATTCCTGGGAGTAACCTGAGTTGGTCATATTGTTTTTATTGAATTTTTAAGAAAGATCAAGACTTGTTAAAAATGTACCAACCTGAAAATGAATAAGTGTTAATAGATGCATTAATAGCTAAAATGAATTTAAAGTATAATTTCCCTTTCCATTTATTCTTGGCTAAAAACAGCTTAACTGATTGAATATTGGTTGTCCCGGGATACTGTATGATGTATCCGCATCAATGATCAAATGGATTGCAACTTTTCCTGAATTCAGGGTAATTTATTTCTGTAATAAAAATCATTGTTTCATAATATTGACATGAAACTGATTATTATTAAGTTTTGGGATGGCTTTCAATAGTTTATGAAATAGCTGCCATTTTTTTTTTACGTATTCTTTTTTTGGTTTGAGTACAGTACCCTATAACCGCCTCCGTGGTCGAGGGGTTAGAATCGATGACTTCTAATCCAGTTACCTCTATGGCGTGGGTTCGATCCCCGGGAGATGCTTTGGTAGTTTAGCGCGGAGGAAGGTAGTCTAGTACTGGTGTAACTCTCCAGGAAGATGGTTAGGAAACTACCCGCCTATATGACTGAAATACTGTTGAAAAAGTCGTAAAATGAAACAAATAAACAAACAGTTTGAGTACCCAAGAAGAAGTTTGATTCCTTGTGTGGAACTCATGTATAAAAAAGTATGTTTTGTTTAAAAAAAAAAAAAAAGGTCAAAATTGGCCCCACCCAAAAAAACTTGAAAAAAAACCCCAAAAACTTGACGTAACATCCTCAACATACTTTTTAGCAGAAACATATCCCTTGATGCCTCCCCAGCCAGTGTTATATCCTCATAACTAATGAGTTGCATGATATATTAATCACTATTACTAATTAAAATTGTAGAAATGAGCTTTGTATCAACATTTTATGTAGCCATATTAGTAATGCCCCTAAGTGATAACTGCATCATGTTTGTAATACATGTATATTAAAAATAATATTTTAACTGTATTTTATGTAATACATGTACTACATTAAACTCAATTTGTAATGTCAAGATCAAACAATGACCTAAATAATATCAAAAAGGCTTGGATCAAAGTGTGTAGATGCACTTACTTTAGTAGGGAAACGTTATGGTTGAGCAAATAGCAAATGTGGTCAAGGGGACATAATCACACAAGTTAAGATTAAAATCAAACAAGGCCGTCAGAGTTACCTTTCTTGAAAAATAGCAAAAAAACCTTAAAAATAGCACTTCGTTACATGTATAAAAGTAAGTAATTGTGATAGAAATTTTTGTCTTTACTTTTAAGATTGAGAATAGATCATCGTCTAAGCAAGCTTTGCACAGACTTCGGATTAATTTTAGTTAGCAAACTCACCAAGAACCAAAAGTATTTATAAAAATCTGTGGTGAACATACAGGGCACATAATAGGAAAGGTAGATATATAATATAGGTTTTGTTAAATCTTTTTATTCCCAGGAGAAGGACGGATATATATTTTGAATTGTCCAGACAATCTTAGGAGGTACACATTATGGAGTTAGGGTTTATGTACACCTTAATATTATGAGCTTCATCCAGAACAAACTTTAGTTCTGCACATGTGGGGTTGAAAAAGTTGCATATGGGGTTTAAGAAGGAATAAGATGTGGTTTATTTGACTTGGAAAAGACATTTTTAAAACATGTTATTTTTGTGCCATTAGGTCAAATGTTATGGTCACAGTGACATATGATTTACATGAATGTCGAATTTATTTTCCAGAAAAAGACACTATGAATACAGTATAATCCCAATATTTATATTTTATTTATGTTTAATACACAATAAATTTGTCTGCTCTGTTAGATAATCTGTTCAACAAACAATTATGAATGAACTTACCCATTAAATGCCTTTTATATAATTATGTTCTTTTATTATTTATGTAGAGTTAAAGGAGAAGAAGGAAACAAAACTATGCTTTTTATCCATCAAACCAAGTTTCAAAAGCATTTATTGAAAAGGTATGGCACTGAGATGGTTTTGATGGATAGTACCTACAAGGTAACCAGATACGACAACCACCTATCATTGGTGGTTGTGCCGACCAATGTAGGGTACTTTGTCACTGCAGCGCTCATGATGGAGAGGGAGACAATGGAAGGTTACAAGGAGGCCCTCAAGATATTAAAATCCTGGAATCCGGAATGGAGCCCTAATGCATTCATTACAGATTATGACAGGAGGGAGATTAATGCTGTTGAAATTGTTTTTACGGGTAAATAATGTGTATGACAAATATGTGTATGACAAATAATGTAAAATAATATTTTTTAAATGTAACCACTGTTAGATTGACATTGAAGCATAGGTGAACTTATAAGTAGCAAAAACATAATTTTAAGGATAACTTCTTTGTTGCCTGTCTGTTCTCTCCATCCGTCACAAAACTTGTCTGGAGTACTCCTTCGAAACTTCTGATGCAATTTTACACTACTGATCAGTACTTACTACCAAGTATAGTTTCGTACATCTTTGACATTTTTTGGTGCAATGTATTCTGTAAAAGTTATGGCCCTTTATAGATTATTTTAAAGTTTTTCCCTACTACTTTGTAGAGCTGTCATCAATAGAGACAATATCGATGGATCATTGATATTTTTCTGTTGATCAATAATTGATACACTTTTGAAAAAATCAGTAATTTGATTAATTTTTTCAATGTCTATGAATTATGAAAATTCACACCAAAAAAAAGCAGGTGGCCATGTTACATAATGGACACATTTCATAGGTGTGATAGCAAAAATGGTTAGGAAAAAATCTTGTAGAGGTCATTTATAAATATAACACAACATACTTATATATGAACAGAACATAAATTTTACTAATCAGGTATGAAAGTGAATATTATACATGAAATTAGGAGCATATATCAATATATAGGTGAATCGCCGATATTTGTCATCTGATATCTATGTATACGTCACTATGCTTTCCAATGAATTAATAACAGCTCTAAAAAAGTAGTATTGCAAATTAAATGAAACGTTACAGTATTGATTGCATCAATATGGTTATTTTTTGGTGTTTTTTTTTTTAAGACATTTTTTGTGTCTCCTACTTATGGAACAGAATTAATGCATTTATTCTATCTTGCTTGATGACATTGGAACTTGCATTATGCTTAATTCCATCTTGCTTGATGACATTGGAACTTGCATTATGCTTGATTCCATCTTGCTTGATGACATTGGAACTTGCATTATGCTTAATTCCATCTTGCTACATGACATTAGAACTTGCATTATGATTGATTCCATCTTGCTTTATGATATTTAAACGTTGCATTATTCTGGATTCCATTTTACATTATTTCATTCAAACATTTCTATGTAACAGAATTAATGCATTTATTCTATCTTGCTTGATGACATTGGAACTTGCATTATGCTTAATTCCATCTTGCTTGATGACATTGGAACTTGCATTATGCTTGATTCCATCTTGCTTGATGACATTGGAGCTTGCATTATGCTTAATTCCATCTTGCTACATGACATTAGAACTTGCATTATGATTGATTCCATCTTGCTTTATGATATTTAAACGTTGCATTATTCTGGATTCCATTTTTCATTATTTCATTCAAACATTTCGTAGTGACCAATTCTTTCATTGAGTGATAACTATTAAACTGGAACGAGCCATTTGGAATACTAAAATGTTAACGGCATATACCTTTATGTATAAGCTACTTTTCTTCATGCTCTATACAAACCATTTACGGTTTAGTTTTTTTGTATTACTTTTATGTAGAAGTCATTTAAAATTGACTATTTTTTGTTCCCTGATGGATTTTGTTAAAATGTGACTTATTTGATTTACAGCTCGCATGGCGTGATTACTATTAGCTTATATCCATTATTCAGTGTTTACGCTTAATAAAGCTCGGTGTCTGAGGCTTTGTGGATTATGTTTGATCATCTTACATTATGATAAACAATTTAAACAATGTCTAGCGATTTGTGAACTGTTAAGGGGCGAGAACTCTGTTATCGATATCAACGGATTTTTTTCCATGATTCGCCTTTCATCGGAATTTTCCGTACATGTATATATTACGGAATACCGTTAGGGCCATCGTGTTATACGTTAAAATACAGAGGGCTTAATACATAAATTGCAGTGGAAAGAATATAAATACAAGTAGTAAGGATTATGCAATATAATTTTATACATGTATATGTATACAGTCTAATAGAAAAAAATATGCTCGTAAACAGTTATTCAATGGGGCAGTTATGCGTACAGTGGCAGATTCAGGCCTTGGCTTAAGGGCTGCACCTACCCCCAAAGATACGTTGATGAGCTGGGATGGAATATATATGTATAAGTTTCATGCAATAGTGGTCATAGTGTACTCCCTTATCAAAACATATAATGCTGTCATCCAGTTGTTAAGCACCTGCCCAGGTATTGCGATTGCGAAGGTCTTTATCTAATGACTTGGACATTAAAAGCAAAACTTATTAATTGGCCTTTTAACTTAATAAATGTCTCAGAGTCACTAATAGTGGCGAATAGGTATGTAACACATTAAAATATACATGTACAATAAGGAAAGAAGGAAGTTGTTTATTTTTGTGACATGTGCATAGTCAATTATAAATGTTAGGCATATGTGTGTCTGATTATAGATCAGACATCCCGCACACACCACCACATTCACATACATTTGTGCTTAAAGATATACTATGCACATCTTTCAGTAATATATTTTTATCACATAAATTTATTGAAGTCTATAAAATTCTAACTAAATATGTTTTATTTAAATAAAAACACATACGCATAATGTATAGGAATCTGCTTTCCTTATTACGGGTCAAGTAAAGTTGTGCCTGTCTTTAAAAGAAACTTCCATATATATTTTTGTAATAACACTATAATACATGAATATTCATACTGCCCACTTACAGTGTAAAGGATTTAAAGCACAATGTTTGTGTGAAGCCAAATTATATTTATTTTATTTTACAAAAAAATCAAGTTTGTACTGTACTAAGTCGTGGCCACGAGTTACTTAGTGACATGTGTGTGGTTTTTTTTTATCTCGTGCGCACGAGATACTGTGTCGTGGCCACGAGTTACTAAGTCGTGGCCACGAGATAGTTAAGTCGTGGGAACGAGATACTATATCGTTGCCACGAAATACTATGTAAAGGCCACGAGTTACTAAGTCGTTTAAGTCGTGGGAACGAGATAACTAAGTCGTGCAGACGAGATAATTAAATAAGATTACACCATGATTTTTTAAACTTAGAAAATTTCTGTTTAAAGATTTACGTGCAACATTAATCTTTGAAAATACTGAAGTGTTCACTTTGAACTTAATACATGTCTTTAGGATCATAAGGCCCATAAATCAGACATTAATTTTGACTAAGTTATAGCCCTTTGTTGGGACAATTCTATGACAGAATTGGTCATTTTGTACATACAAAGGCCTGTTAACATTGTTCATACCATAACTTGAGAGGGACTTAGTCCTGGTTTATTTTATTGGGAAGGGACATTGCCCATGGCCAGTAGATATCCTATAAGGATGTTTGAGGTCACAGGTAAGATTAACATGACACTTCATGTAAAATCCTTGTCTGATGAATGATTTAGAAAGAATAAGCCGTAGTTTATATAACCTAAAAAGATCAGTAGATGACACCTAATAATTTTTAGGCAATTTGGTCAGAAATCAGGGTCACAATGACGCTAAATCTTTGACCAATCAATAACTTGTATAAATGGCACTTTTACGAGCAAGTAAAGTAGGGGCATCCTTGTTAGGAAAATTCATATAAATAGTGTAATTTGATTGGTAATTTATCTCGTTCGCACGAATTAATTTTCTCGTGGCCACGACTAAACTTTCTCGTGGCCACGACATAGTAACTTGTTCCAACGACTTATTTATCTCGTGGCCACGACTTAGTAACTCGTGGCCACGACTTAGTTATCTCGTTCCCACGACTTAATTATCTCGTGGCCACGACTTAGTAACTCGTGGCCACAACATAGTATCTCGTTCCCACGACTGAACTATCTCGTGGCCACGACTTAGTAACCCGTGGCCACGACACAGTATCTCGTGCGCACGAGATAAATAAAAACACACACATGTCACCTTTGTGCCACCTTAAGTTTGATAAAATGCAATTTCACTTATCACACACGCTCAAAAAGAAGTGTAAACATTTGTATAAGAGGTGAGTTGCCACTTGTAGGATGAGTTATTAGAGACATATATCACTTTTTTCCCACATACTGGCGGAATCTTCAAAAACACGCACTTTTTGTCTGTCGCATCGTGTTCTCTTGTTTTTCAGTAAATTTACATGTCAGTCCCCAACTAACACTGTTCTGTATACGCCCCTATATAAAGTGGACGTAACTTTGTTTACTCCACGTGCCAAAATACGGGATCATCCGGAAAATAACGGGATGTACTGACAAAGCGACACCTGCTGTCATAATATGAACACAAATTATTGCAACTCGCATTATGCTTACTGCCAACTGCTTAGTGCGTACTGTCACATGCGACTATAATATCGCTATCGTTGTCATCTTTGTTGTCGATGCGCAGTGATCATGTATTGCATTATATTTGTAATCAGTGAATATATTGAAGCATATGAATGCTAAGACACATCAAATTCGCCAATTATTGATCAAAATGAATAGTTTATTTTGACATAATGTGGCAGATTTATCGCAAATTAAAGATACAACTACCATGTTACATATAGTTATAAAGAATGTTATCTTAAACACCAAACATAATACGTTGTCCTTAGAAAAAGATGCAATTAAACATATAGCATATTAAAATATGTGAGTTTGATGGTTTAGTAGGGAACACACAAGGTTGCAATTACATGAAAGTGCATTCAGTAATCATAAGGCATGATTGAATTCAGCAAAACGCAGGTTTTCATTGTCATAAACAGAAGTATAGAAGCAAGCATAATGTAAGTTCCGATATCATAAAGCAAGATGGAATAAATGCATTAATTCTGTTCCATACCTACTACACAGTACCTGCAACATGCTATTGGCTCATGCAATCAGTGATCACTCTTGATTTTAGCAGAGCGTAACTAACAAGTATTATAGATATCAGTTTGAAACTTCAAAGATTACTAAATCTCTTTAAGGAAAATGCTCTATGTTAGAACCATGATAATCTTGTATATATTGCTTTTCATTTTTTTTTCCAACTTCAGTTAGTGCTCATTGTTGTTTTTATTATCCATTGTTGTCTACAGCATATTGAAAGTCATTATTTTGCAGCAAAAGCTTTAATTCTAAAATATGTTAGACATTTTAGAATTCTTTTCTTTTCATGTACTTTAGGCACAAAAGTTTACCTCTGTGAATTTCATCGTGAGCAATCATGGGGAAGAAAATTGAAAAAATCCTCTTTGTCAGATGTTCTTTCACAGTAAGTGTAATCCTTGCATTTACACTGCTTTCAACAGTAAATTAAATTTTTAAAAATAAAATGTTTATAAGGTTATTATTTCTAGCAACTTAGTTTAGTTCCAGACCATCAAGATGCATATATCTACAATCAAATATAGGCTTTTGCAAATAATAGGTTAATACTCTGTAGTTAAGGATATTTTTATGCCCCCGCCATGTAATGGCCGGGGCATATAGTGTTACCCTGTTCCGTCCTTCCGTCATTCCGTCCTTCCGTCCTTCCGTCATTCCGTCCTTCCGTCATTCTGTCATTCCGTCATCATCAGTTTCCGTTCATTATCTTAGTAACGGTTGCACATATTCAACTCAAATTTGACATATGAATATGTCATGAGAAAATACAGGTCAAGTTCGAATTTGGTCACGGTTCGATGATTTTTGGCAGAGTTATGCCCCTTTTACTTTGAAAATAATATGAAATTTTCAGTTTCCGTTCATTATCTCCCCAACGGTACAACACATTCAACTCAAATTTGACATATGGATATGTCATGAGAAAATACAGGTCAAGTTCAAATTTGGTCATGGTTCAACGATTTTTGGCAGAGTTATGCCCCTTTTACTTTGAAAATAATATGAAATTTTCAGTTTCCGTTCATTATCTCCCCAACCGTACAACACATTCAACTCAAATTTGACATATGGATATGTCATGAGAAAATACAGGTCAAGTTCAAATTTGGTCATGGTTCAACGATTTTTGGCAGAGTTATGCCCCTTTTACTTTGAAAATAATATGAAATTTTCAGTTTCCGTTCATTATCTCCCCAACGGTACAACACATTCAACTCAAATTTGACATATGGATATGTCATGAGAAAATACAGGTCAAGTTTGAATTTGGTCATGGTTCAATGATTTTTGGCAGAGTTATGCTCCTTTTACTTTGAAAATAATATGAAATTTTCAGTTTCTGTTTATTATCTCCCCAACAGTACAACACATTCAACTCAAATTTGACATATGGATATTTTTTTGGAATGCCAAGGTCAAGTTCGAATTTGGTCATGGTTCAATAATTTTTGGCAGAGTAATGCCCTTTTCACTTTGAAAAAAATATGAAATTTACAGTTTCTGTTCATTATCTACCCAACAGTGTTACATATTCTACTCAAATTTGACATATGGATATGTCAAAGGAATGGGCAGGTCAAGTTGGAATTTGGTCATGGTTCGATGATTTTTTTGGCAGAGTTATGTCCCTTTCACTTTGAAAATAATATACATACATCTTAGGAATAGGCAGTTTAAGTTTGAATTTGGTCGTGGTTCAATGATTTTGGACAAACTTATCTTTCTTGAATATTGGAAAAAATTTTGAACTTTCAGTTTCAGCACTCATACTTTTGTGGAAATGTATGTAGCCATTATTTTGGCTACAAATATGAAATATGCTATTTTCAAAAGGTTAAGACTGAATAATTTCAGTGCTTTGAACATTGTATGAAAATGGTTTGTGTTAACATTGAAAAGTTTTAAGGGCTTTGAACTTAAAATGAAAACAATAATTTGTGCAAACAAATTTGGAACTAAATATAATAACATCTGAAATTTTGGCTGCATGCGGGGGCATCCGTGGCATGATGACACATTTCTAGTTTATATTACATACATCACATATACTGAAATATAACCATTTCTGTCCCTTGTTAAAAACTTAAACTATATAACCATACTTAAAATTCAAGTTGATGCTTTTGAATATTTCTGGTTTTCCCAAGCTAATCCAGGGTGGCAGACAAATTTTTACAATTACACGGAAAGTAAGCACAAACGGTTGATGAAGCTATTGTGACTGGTAGTGCACAGTGAAGCTGTAAGAGGAAAATTGTGTTTGTACTGGGGGTAAGCTTGGAAAAACCCACTTTTCCAGTGTTTAGAATAACATCCATAAAAACAAAATTTAATCTGTAAAAAAAGAACTACACACAAAAAGGTTCTGAAGGTTCTTACTAAATCAGAACAATTTTTTTTGTTTACAAATTACCATTGTTATTTAAAGGATTTTTTTTTTTAAATGATTTTCTGCATTGATGCTAGACATTATAATGTTACCTTTCCTCTGTGTTGTAAATTAAAATTATGAAGTTTACCAACATTTTTGAATCCTTGTCTATATAGTCCCCTGGATTTCAAGAAATATACTGTTTCAAAACCAGTCTGAATCAACATTATTTCTCATGCAAAACATCGCAATTATTTTTTATGCCCCCCTTCAAAGAAGTGGGGGTATATTGTTTTGCTAATGTCGGTCTGTCTGTCTGTCGGTCCGTCGGTCTGTCCGTCAGTGGACCACATGGTTTCCGCTAATTATCTTGAAAAGTATTTATCACAAAGTCTTCATATTTCACATAGTGATTGGTCATCACTAGTAGATGACCCCTATTGATTTTGGGGTCACTAGGTTAAAGGTCAAGGTCACAGGGACCTTAAATGTCAAAAGAAATTCCGCTGATTATCTTGAAAAGTATGTATCACAAAGTTTTCACATTTCACATAGTGATTGGTCATCACTAGTAAATGACCCCTATTGATTTTGGGGTCACTAGGTCAAAGGTAAAGGTCACAGGGGCTTTGAATGTCAAAATGGTTTCCGCTGATTATCTTGAAAAGTATTCATCACAAAGTCTTCATATTTCAAATAGTAATTGGTCATAACTAGTAGATGACCTCTATTGATTTTGGGGTCACTAGGTCAAAGGTCAAGGTCACAGGGTCCTTAAATGTCAAAAGGGTTTCTGCTGATTATCTTGAAAAGTATTCATCACAAAGTCTTCATATTTCACCTAGTTATTGTTCATAAGTAGAAGATGGTGACCTCTATTGATTTATTAGGTCAAAGGTAAATGTCACATGGGCCTTAAAAGTCAAAATGGTTTCCGTTGATTTTTCCATTATTGAACACTTCCATGTACCCATTTTTGGCAAGTTTCTGTAATAAAATTACCAATTATGTGAGTCAATGGCTAGAAAGGGGGGTATATGTGTCGTTCGACATTCTTGTTCAAATAAAGTTATACATTATTTATTAAGAAAAAATATGTTTAAGGGATTCTTAAAATCTTGTCATTGTTATTTAATTAAGGTAAAGGGTTATTGCCAGATCAAAGACAGTTGATATATGCAACACTGAGGTTAAAACTTTACGATCATTGACATCTTACCAAACTCACCTAGAAGTTAAGAACTGGTTGGAAAAAACTTGGCTAAGTGAGAAACAGGTAAAACTTTTAATGTATAGGTTTCCAAATTTAAAATCTTATTATTAATGAAAACAACAGATGTTGGTATAGTAAAATAAGGTAAATATGTTTATGAAGCATTCAAGCTTAGGCCACAACTTATATGACATTAAGACTTCAATGATGTAAAATGTATCGTGTCTGCTGTACTTTTTTCTTATTTGATCATGGCCAGATAGGTTATAAATATATTTTACTGTATATTACTAAGCAATGAGTGCAAAATTTCTTGCTCACAGACAAAACCTGCCCCTGACAGGATTTGAAGTGGCACAGCCAGCAATCCTTACATTACTAGTGACGCCTTAACCACTGTTACATTTGCTCATCTAAACACTAAATGATTGTGACATGTGTGTATATATGTATATGGTGTAATTGTAATGCATTGTACACTGTTGTTGATGAAATTGGATCAAAATTATTCACAAAATGAAAGCATTTTCTGAATCAAATTACCTTGCCTCTATTGGCTATGGGTCTTATGCCCATAAAATACTTACAGATCTGACATTAATAATAAAAATATAATTCTTCAGAAATTTTGTGTAAAATGTCTGTAGCATTAATGGCCAAAAAATTTTGTACTGCATACTGTTGGGATATTTCAAATTTACAATTGTTTCTTTATTTAAGCGATGGGTCTACTGTTACAGACCTAAGTCGGTGAACTTGCGAATAAACACAACAAATGGTGTCGAAAGCCAACATAACATACTGAAGCAAAATTACTTAAGGGAGATCTTTGAGCTCTGCTATTGAGATCATCGTTAAAGACTTCATACCTGATGGGAGAAAAAAGTAGGTTTTTAGATTGCATGGCATTACTTGTTTTCCAAAATGTAAATGTTGATAAATAGTCCATTGTGACTTAACACACATAAAATTGTTATCATATGATTATGCATGAGCCCAGTTAAATATATCTGGTTGCTTAGAAAGTGAATAGATTTAGTATGTTGTCTTATATAAGACTTTGGGGGAAAATATTTATCATATTGAAATATTAAAAAATATAGACTGTGATATTTTGCGGCTCATTTATTGCCATGAATTCTGGTCTTTTATAAGCCGTAAACATTATCCTATGAGCCAAAAATTTGTCCCCTGTCCAAGAGCATAAAGATGTAAAGGATACTCAACAAAGCCTTTTTCAAACAAATATGTAATGTTGATTCTCATTTTTCACAACTTCCTTACTTATGTATTATATTTAGTGTCAACTTTTTGCTGTCCTACTTATCTGTGCATCTGTGTCAAAGCAACACTTTTGTTACAGTTTTATATGTAACTTCTTGTTCACTATAATATTTCAGTGACCACTATAGATATTTGTTTGTCAATTCACATGTCTTTGAGCTCCAAGGATCATAATTCTGACTTGAATTTTGACTAAATTATGGCCCCTCTTATCTGTTAAAGTATTATGTCCAACATCAGTTTTCAAAGTTTAGATGGGTTTCTTTGAAATTTAAAACCTGTCTATAGAGGATCACAATTAAAGGTCACTATCCAATGTAACAACTCTTTAATACATAGATTTTTTATTATGCCCCCGCCATGTAATGGCCGGGGCATATAGTGTTACCCTGTTCCGTCCTTCCGTCATTCCGTCCTTCCGTCCTTCCGTCATTCCGTCCTTCCGTCATTCTGTCATTCCGTCATCATCAGTTTCCGTTCATTATCTTAGTAACGGTTGCACATATTCAACTCAAATTTGACATATGAATATGTCATGAGAAAATACAGGTCAAGTTCGAATTTGGTCACGGTTCGATGATTTTTGGCAGAGTTATGCCCCTTTTACTTTGAAAATAATATGAAATTTTCAGTTTCCGTTCATTATCTCCCCAACGGTACAACACATTCAACTCAAATTTGACATATGGATATGTCATGAGAAAATACAGGTCAAGTTCAAATTTGGTCATGGTTCAACGATTTTTGGCAGAGTTATGCCCCTTTTACTTTGAAAATAATATGAAATTTTCAGTTTCCGTTCATTATCTCCCCAACCGTACAACACATTCAACTCAAATTTGACATATGGATATGTCATGAGAAAATACAGGTCAAGTTCAAATTTGGTCATGGTTCAACGATTTTTGGCAGAGTTATGCCCCTTTTACTTTGAAAATAATATGAAATTTTCAGTTTCCGTTCATTATCTCCCCAACGGTACAACACATTCAACTCAAATTTGACATATGGATATGTCATGAGAAAATACAGGTCAAGTTTGAATTTGGTCATGGTTCAATGATTTTTGGCAGAGTTATGCTCCTTTTACTTTGAAAATAATATGAAATTTTCAGTTTCTGTTTATTATCTCCCCAACAGTACAACACATTCAACTCAAATTTGACATATGGAATATTTTTTGGAATGCCAAGGTCAAGTTCGAATTTGGTCATGGTTCAATAATTTTTGGCAGAGTAATGCCCTTTTCACTTTGAAAAAAATATGAAATTTACAGTTTCTGTTCATTATCTACCCAACAGTGTTACATATTCTACTCAAATTTGACATATGGATATGTCAAAGGAATGGGCAGGTCAAGTTGGAATTTGGTCATGGTTCGATGATTTTTTTGGCAGAGTTATGTCCCTTTCACTTTGAAAATAATATACATACATCTTAGGAATAGGCAGTTTAAGTTTGAATTTGGTCGTGGTTCAATGATTTTGGACAAACTTATCTTTCTTGAATATTGGAAAAAATTTTGAACTTTCAGTTTCAGCACTCATACTTTTGTGGAAATGTATGTAGCCATTATTTTGGCTACAAATATGAAATATGCTATTTTCAAAAGGTTAAGACTGAATAATTTCAGTGCTTTGAACATTGTATGAAAATGGTTTGTGTTAACATTGAAAAGTTTTAAGGGCTTTGAACTTAAAATGAAAACAATAATTTGTGCAAACAAATTTGGAACTAAATATAATAACATCTGAAATTTTGGCTGCATGCGGGGGCATCCGTGGCATGATGACACATTTCTAGTTAAATTTTCAACTACATCACTATCTAAGGCCCATAAATTTGACATGTAATGATGGACTAAATTATTTTATTTATGTGCAAATTCAACCTTCATTTGTACTAAAGGTAATCAATGAAAATAAAAACATATGTCCGGAATCAAAATAGAAGTTCACTATCCAAGACCAATAACTCCAACATTTGGATTTTGACATGCTTAAAATCCCCTTATTAACTTAAAGGCTTCCTCCTTTAAAAGTTTCATGTAATAAAAACTTTCTTACAGTATACAACATCTGTGTTATGAATGAATTAAGGCCTTTTAAGCTCCACTTTTTGATGAAAAAAAGTGAAGCCATTGTCTCTAACTCTCCTCTCATTAGCAATGGCATTTGTTGAACTTTTTTGTGAAGGTCCATTTCATTTTGTCAGAATCTATAAAAGCTAATCATTTCAAACTTTGTTTACATGTTTGTTGTTCTGAAGGAAGACCATTTCATAAGGACAGAGGATCCTAAAGTTATTTCCTTTTTATGACTTGAAATTTTTATGATACTTCAGTACTGAGGAAAGTGCAGACATGTCTCCTTGAACTTAGAAAACAGCTGTGTCAACAATTGGTCATGTTTTGTAATGGAAATTTCTTCTTCGTTAGTGCCTGCATTATCCAGGTTGTGGTCATATTATCAAGTACTGAACAAATTTGAGTGTATTGTGCTATCAATAACCCTTGCTTTACATCATAGGTATATACAGAGGAACTTCCAGTGTTTAGACACATACAGAAAATACTCTTCTGACGTCCCATCCTTCCTGCAAAATTGACCGAAAGGATTTGTTAAGCATGTTGTTCAAAGGCTTGGTCTTGTAGAAGAAGAAAGTATTACACAGTTGGAGGGGGGCTTTGATGTAAAAAGCTCTGATGGCTGTCATAACTACTATTGTGACATGGAATCAGAATATCCAAGCTGTTCTTGCCCAGACTTTGACAAATACAACTGGCCATGTAAGCATATGGTAGCAATCATGATGATTTATCCAGGGTTTGGCTGGGATTTTCTTCCAGACAATTATAGAAATTTACCATGTTTTGTCATTGATGAAGATGCAATAGAAGAGAAACTTGACTTAGGGAATGGAAAAGAAACAGAAATGGAAGAAAGCAAGACAAGCAGGAA